AAAAAAAAAAAAAAATTGTCAAAATTATAAATAAAATGGGGAAAGCAAGAAATCCTTGTAATCAAATGTAGGTCTGAGAGTGCCATTTCCTGCCATCTAGAGGCTCTTGCCTTAGCCCCAACGCTGGGTGGGCTGAGGTGGTATAGACTCTCCATCTGTGAAAGTCCTGCTTGAGCCCCACAATTTAGAATTCCTGGATCCGCCACTGAATTAGGAATTTAAGAGCCCAATGTAGACCACATGCTTCCTCAATAATAGGCAAAATATCGTCTTTACATTTATGTGAATATGGTTATTCATAATTTAATTTTGTTTCCTTACCTCATACAGGCCTGTCCATATTTTGCTGTGAGGGGGCTAAAGGATGAGGCAAACGTTGTCTTCTGTCCCTACAATTATCTTATTGATCCAAAGATACGAAAAAGCGTAAGTAAAAATGAAAAAAAAACCCCCAAAAAATAGATGTTTATAAAACAGAACATGCGAGGTCTCACCATGAAATGAGATGCATCGTAAAGCCTGTCTCACATTATCGCGACCTTACAATGCGACCGTACCGACCTACGGTCGTATCTAACTGGAAGTAGGGCCTGGCGACCAGTACCGACCACTATATTTTTTTCAACATTTTGAAATCTCTGCGACCATCGACGACCCTCTCTTCTACACGAGCAAGTTCCTCATAGCAGCTCTCACACTGGTCGGTGGTGGTCGTATACTGATCGCAGTGCATATAGGTCGTGAGAGTTGCTTTAGTGAAATCATATTGAGATATTCACCAAAAAAGGTCAGAGTCAAAATGTTTACAAAATTTAAATTTAATGTTCTTGAATAACTTGATACTTATATTTTATGATTGTATATTTTTTAAGTGACCTTTCATATTAAAACTGTGTTCTCTGCACATATTCTGTAATTCTAGTCCTATTATATGTACAGGTTTGTTTTTCTTTGAGGCCGATTTTCTTAAAACATGGTTCGCATACACCTACAGGTTAACTGCTCACATCACTGAATCTATATATCCTAGGGAAGGCATTTAAAGACTGAATTGAAGCTTTTAATGTGATCTACCCAAATTGTCTAACCACGAGACTCATTTTGTGGTGAGACCTCACATATTGTTTTTTAAATAATGAGAAACTATGTTATATATAAAAAAGTTGTGCGCTACAGAGAATACAATTTTGACTGTTGTAATATGGCTGAGGGTAAGGTGCAGAATTCTGACCATTACAGTATAGAACCCAGCCCTGCTGAGGCTGGTAGATTTTCCAGTCTACGTATTCTGTCACAACAACCAACTTACCTAAATTTTATAGATTGAGGTCGAAAGTTGTTTATGCATTAAACTGAACTGTTACTACAGTAGTTTAAAATGCAAGTTGCAACAATGACTTGTTAACATAGTTGTTTTTAAAATTGTTAAAAGAATTTTGTTTTATTTCAAATCTTTCTTAGATGGATATTGTGTTGAAAGATCAGATTGTGATTTTAGATGAAGCTCACAATATTGAGGATTCTTCGAGAGAAGCTGCGAGTTTAACGGTTACAACGGAACAATTTACAGAAAGCATTGCAGAACTTGATAAACTTAGTGAGTTTTAAATTTCTATAATTTCTGTCATTTCTTCATTCTTTTAAATTTTGACTCATAGATGCAGCGTTAAAGCCGTGCACTCACTGTGTGGTACAGCTGCCATACGGTGAATTCAACTTCCCTTCTCTATGAACGCTAGATGGCGCGGCGCTGTCTGCTGATTGTCGGTTGGAGTCTCAACGGATCGTCATTAAAAATGATCTGTTGCATGCGTTTTGAGGTATTGTGTTCTATATAGAGCGTCAGTCGATGACCATTGAGCACAGTGATTGCCTGGCTTTAAGGCTTTGGACTTTCAATCGTGAGGTAGTCCGTTTTAGACCAGTGCTTGTCACACTGCTTGTCTCCATAGGCTACATTTTCTTCTTAGAGTTTTTTCTTTGTAATTTTGTATCATTCAATGAAGATATTGTCTTCTTTCAGTACAATTTACAATAATGAAAGATAATGCAGTGTATAGTATGATGTAGTGGTGATGCTAAGTCAATTTAGAAATACTTTTTTTGTTCAAAGTCTGAGCTCACCAATAAAGTGGTGGCAACAGAAATTTGGCAGGGGGAGGGGGGTGGGTTCGAAAAAAGGCACCATCTAGAGCCTCGGTGAGGGTCCTGGAATAGAACTCCCGGTAGTGTTCACATGGAGAGTGTTTATGCCATAAAGGGTGGGGGTCTTGGTCTATCCGGTGGAGGGGGACAAACCCAGCTTGCACCATGCTGGCACCAACACTGGAGCTCACCATCAATTAAATTTTGGGCTAGTGAAAACGTTCTTGGGTGAGTGAGTTTGAAAAGTCCCTCGCTCAATCGGGCGAGTGTGAAAAAATGTTAATTTTGCTTCCTGGGTATCTGGTAGGAGGTGAATAAAATAGGTAGTGCTGACTTCCATGCATGGAGATGTGCGCTTAATAAATCTTATTATTATTATTATTATTATAACTAGGAATACGCCTTCGGAGTGGAGGAGGATTTTATTTTTTAAAATTATACATTTCTTTTTTTTTTAACTTGGTTAGCAAACTTTTCAATAAAATTTCTCAGAAAGAAGAGGTGTAAAAAATATTTGGCAAATGGTTCTGCTTAAATGCAGAAGGAAATGAAACTTTGAAGACATGTAAAGATGGAAATATGTGAGATTAAAAAAAAAAGCAATAAAAGGCACCCTTATTCCCTCACTCACAGATCGTTCACACTTGGTGTAAAGATTGCGATGTAAACAGTTAAGTACACAGGTTGATAATTGATTAATATTTATTTAAAAATGAGGAAGAATTAAAGATTTCTTATTGGCAGATTTCATGGTTGTAGTGGGAACGATAAAAATATACTTTTAAAAAATCTTTCTGAAATTCTCAATTTTCACAACAGCTAACAAATCTGAAAATAGAATATTTCCAGCCGTACTAAAATAATAAATTTCTTTTTAGTATTTGAAAGTAAAATATTTTAAAATGATTTATTTAATTCAAAATGTGTTTATTCAACTCAAAAAAAACAAAACTAACTCATCAAATTCAAATTCGTCTTCAGTTCATGTTTGTCGCCATCTATAGTTTTCATTTTGATAGTTGCAAATTACGACTCTAATTGATTGTAATTTGGAGTGACCGCAAGGGAAACAATACAAGATCATCTGCCAAGACCAGCTACAAACAAATGCTTTATAGTCTGCTAATATTTTTCCAAAATTATTACAAAATGAATTGATATATTTTGTATCAGGGCTCTACTTGTAGAAGTTTTAATAGTCTTGTGATATTAAGCTAGGAACATTAGTTCTTGTATATCCTTGTCCGAAGTTCACTTTTTATAAATGTTCAATTTTGTGTAATGATTGGATTTACTTTTCTTTGAAGCTGTCCTTGATATTTTAATGAGTGCATGTTTAAAATTACTATTCATAGATTCAAGGCTATTGTCCTTGTAATTCTTGTGGAAATTGCAGATATTGTGTCAGGATTTGTCCGATGTTGTCCCAGTTTCTCGCTTTACACTCCCTGAACCCAAAGATAAAAAATAACATTGGAAATTGATGTTTTGTTTAACATTTGATTATGTTTGTCAGTTATGTATTGTGATTTAAATTGGGTCACACATACATGCGTGCACACAAGGGAACACGTAGCCTGACATGGCGACACACTCACACGGTCGTGATATCCTCACGATCATTGCGAAACACGCCGTATTGACACTTAACTTACGAAAACATTCATACTGCTGATAATGGGGCATACTTTAAGTTACAAGGCACTTCATTAATTAATAGGTTGTTTATTAATTCAATTTGAATTTTTTAATTGAATTGAATGAGTTTAATTAATATAAATCCTTGAACGATAAACGTAAGTAGCAATTTTGATTTAGCACATTTTGATTAAAATGGAAATGCCGATACTTTCAGTATTTTTACAAACCGATAATCTTTAGAAGTGTGTATTGAATTTAATTTTCTTTTTAACAAATTGAAAGAGAAGCTACATGGAAACAAGTACTTTTTAGACAATATTTTTAAAATGTTAAAGTAGGCTTTTGATATAGTGAACTTCTAATATAAAATCATAGTGCTTCTTTACCATAGTTTGGTGCAAGTTCAAACTTTATGGATTCTGTGCATCAGAAATTTGCATATTAATGAATGATTCATAAGTTATCATTCAGATGCATCCCCTTGTCGGTGAGTGTTAACATCAAATGATACACCAAGTGCTTTCCACTTCCTCTGCGAAACGTCTTCATTCTGTCAGTGACTTAATAAGGTTAAGTTGCTATGGTTCTGCTGTAGCTTATACATAATCGGGGCCTCTGCTGGCTACCACCCAGCACAGGAAACCAATAGTATGTACTGTAACAGGTAGTCTGTAATTACTGATGACCAATCAGTGGTCCATTATGAGGGCGACATTAGGAATTTGAATGTCAATAGGTTAAAGCTAGGCCATTTATATATTATGAAAGATCTAGGTTATGAAAATAATTGAAACCAGGTTGAAATGGAAAATCGTTTTAGTTTGAATGTTATTAGGAAATCAAATGAAAATGTTTTTACTTTTTTCTTGAATGACTTTTGATTAGGAAATGTTACCACAAAAGTTTTATAAAAACATGAAAGTAATATTAAATTCTTAGTCTGGTTACAGTTAGAATATATTAAGGAGGACTTTGACCCAGTATGGGCATCAACACTGACCTTTAATTAGCTCTGTCCTCCTTTTGTGCAGTTCTATCATTTTGGTCATTTTTGTCTGTCTACTATCTCATAATCCAGTCCATAAATAATTGGATCTGGCGGAGTGGTTTTCCCAGAGTTTTTATCAAGGATATATAAGAAAGATATGCCTAGTTCAATTAAATATCCATATTTTAAAGAGTATAGAATTTATGAAATTTCCAAATGTTTATTAAACTATCACTTTTGCAATGGTTGACCCGTATTTCTTATTATGATGTTTATGTGTTTTTAGCCTTCAATTACTATTAAATAATATGTTATAAAGGAGCTGATTTTAATATAAAAATCGCATCGAAACATTTCAGCAATACCTTTTGTACAATGTAGTGATTGCTCTCGTGCAATCCTATATGAAGTGAACAACTGCGATACAATGTTTGTATTACAATGTAATACATTTACAACTATTTAGAAAAAACATTAGATGATGATAATAATTGATCTTAAAAATCTCATAAAAATGTCTTCTGGCTTCATAAAATCATTGAATGTTTACCTAACATTTTAAACTTATCTAAAAGAATTATTCAACCAAAATGTTAATGGTAATAATAATTACTTGCATTACAATTTATAAAAGTTTTGTTTTGTACTGTTTTCATTTAAGTAGGCCTAGATATTGCTCTTATTTTACTTTTTTAAGTTTTTAAGTCAGAAAAAAATTATAAATATAAAATATTACAGTTGAATTAATATCATTTTAAAGAAATATTTTTAAATATATTTTTAGAATGTACCAAAATTAGAAAATAATGAAGTTAAAATATTTTTTAAATGGTACAAGTCTCTGGAGATTAAGGTTGGATTTGCGCAACGCCACAACGGTAAAACAGACTCAGTTATGCGTGACGGTTCTCTGCACAACATAGATTTGACCAAATTGCGTCTTAGAATCAACGCGACTGCAAGAACTCGATGTTCTCGCATGTGCAGATGACTTTTTGTGACGTCATTACGTTCTACGCCGTACCGTCGTCGTGCAATCAAAGCTCCCTAGTGTTGAGTCGTGCTTTAAATTTGTGTACCCAATAGCCAACATCCTCCACCACTTGTGAACCTCTTAACAAACTACACTTCCTAATCAGCGTGGACGCATACTGAACTTTCTCAACCTAGAACAACGACCTCCATCTAAAAATTGTCGCTGTGTTTATCCTTATCAATCAGATCTTACTTTTCTGTGTCGATTTACTTAGGACGCTCTAATATTTTAATTAACATCAATAACTAACCATTTAAATGCTAATTTGCTAATTACAGCTGTGAAACACCCAGCGGCTGACTCTGGTTACTTTAATTGAGTAAGAGATTAAGGTTGGTGGGAATTGGGATCGCATATACACTAGTAATCCCCTGTTGATTTTACGTGAACACTGCTGCCTGTCACGAGTAGTAGTCCCTGGGGACTGTCGGAGGGGGCGAAGATAATGGTGTCTGGATCCACTGCAATGTGTTTACAAGTTTTGTAGAGCCTGAGGTGTAACAGTTCCTCTGTGAACTTGTTGCATCACCTCAAGTAAGAGATTAACCAATTTACAATATCTAAACTACAAATTGAGTTAATGGAATTATGTTATAGATCAAAACGATTGCTCTCTGATTTGAGGCAAAAATATTTTTTTTTTACTATTTTAATGAAAATAGAAAACAGCTGTACATTTGGAATTTATTTTACAATTAGCAATGTTTTTTTAATGTGTAAAACAACTTTGTAAAACTTTGGAATTTTAAAGTTTTATCTGCATTTTTATTTGTAAGTTTAAGCATGG